GGTTGAAAGATCAGTCCTCTGTATATATGAACACTTAGTACATCTGCTGATGCTGGAAAATGCATTTGAAGAAATGTCTAGCCAGTTAGAAATTCAGTGTTATCAGCTGTATTTGCTGATAACTGAAAAAGTACAGAGCAAGAATAACTTGCCAAAAAACGGTGTTGCCTTCTGCAGTGTTATGAGCAAGCAGGTAACACGAAAGTAGTAAAAGAGGTAGTTAGGGCATTTCTGGTATGACTAGAGTTCAACTCTGTAAGGATAAAACTGATAAATTATGGGTTCTGTAACATAACAGATATGTATTTCCAGCAGGGATTTCAAAGATATAAATCTTCTGTAATGAGGATTCCCATTAAAATACTTCATGACATAGCAATATATGATAAAACCCTTTTCAAGAAAGGGATTGGAAGATCTGAAATGGCTGTTCAAGTAATCTGACATTGTCTTAATTATTTGAATTACAAAAGCATGTTGTACAGTCGTGCCCTGCTTGACGTTTAATGACGAATCCGCTTGATGACGATGTTTTTGCAATCACAAAACGATGGTTTGAATGGGGAAAATCCGCTTTGCGATGATCGGTTCCCTGCTTCAGGAGCCGATTTCCGCTTTACGATGATCAAAACAGCTGATTGTCAGGTTTCAAAATGGCTGCTGGGTGTAGAAAATGGCTCCCCGCTGTTTTCTAGGACAGATGCCTTGCTTTACAGGCAGCAAAAATGGCCGCCCCTATGGAGGATCTTCGCTGGACGGTGAGTTTTCAGCCCATTGGAAAGCATTGAAGGGTTTTCAATGCATTTCAATGGGTTTTTAAAAATTTTGCTCTACAGCGATTTCGCTGGAACGAATTAACGTCATTAAGTGAGGCACCACTATATTTTAAAAGCCATACTCTAGCCCTTATACAGAAAACTATTTGTAGGTTTTTAAAAAAATAGGACACCAAGTGGAAACAAACAGATTAGGGTTTTTCAACAGAATGAACAACAATTAACATAGGTATTTGTATCAGTAATGGCAGTAAATGTGAGTGCTCTTTATTAGTAGTTGGGTAGAATGAGTTCAGCATTTAGTTAGGTTGCTTACTAAAACATGCAGTAGATTATTAATTGATCTGGTTTCAATTAACAACAACCTGTTAAGGAGCTCTCTCTCACACCCAGTAGTTCAGAAAGAACTGATTCTTCCATGTGCAGTATGCTGGGGATTGGGGTAGGTTTGTTCATTTTATATTCAGGGTTTATACTACCACAATGTGCGTGTGGTAACACTGAAACTTTGTTTTCATTTTTTTTAACTAGTCACATTTCCTTATGACATTCAGAGAATGCTGTGCCTTTAAATAGTGAGGATAACACAAATGGAAGTTTTTTTCCCCTTTGTGGACAGAGGGACTATGTAGCTCCAAGAGTTTTTCTCAAAATAATAAACAATGGTTTGTCGATGTGTGAACCAGGCTACGGAGTCCTGTGTGCAGTACTGTACTAATATAAATGAAATGCTTCTTGCTTATGCTTCCCCAGAGGAGGTAACATATTCTTGACCCTCCCACCTTCAGAACTACAGTAAACGGATCACTGAAATAAGATGTGCACGTGTGTTGTTGTTTTTTTGTCAGGGATTATACAGTGCTAAACCTGTTACAGATACAGAATTGTTTTTGGCTGTTGTGTGGACGACTTCTGAATGAGGTATCTTTGTAACATATGTGACCATGCTTCATATTGTGATGCCTTGGGTCACATCACCAGGAAAAAGACCACATGTGAATAAAACAATTAAAAATAAAATACATAAACACGTTTTAAATCTTACACTGGTCTACTGAGAAGACTCTTTCACTTTCTAGTAATACTAATACAGTAGTGCACAGTGAGAGCTTTCCTAGCATAACTGAACCTGGAAAACCAAGCCAAACCATCCACCACCATTCTCAGTTTCTAAGACTCAGTGAAAACTGGTTCCAGTGTAAGAGACCAACCATGCAGAGCAGACTTTGTTGCCATCACCCCTTCTTTCCAGAGAAATCTGGGTTAGGGGACTCACAGACTTTACAAGATATCTGTTCCTGAGAGTCAAAGGAGATAAAGAATTTTCTAACTCTAAAGCAAGAAGTATTTTTACTGAGTATTCAGTGGACAAAATGGTCACCACGATATAGAATTTAATATTAGGGCTTAGTGGAATAATAAACACACACAGTCTTCCTAAAGTGGTAAGTTTATTACAGTATTAAGTGACAAAAGTTTTGGATAGTTGCAACAAACAAATTACTTAAATTTAACTAGAACTCCTGTTCTGTACATACCTGGATAAAGATCTTGAACAGACTAGGGATCCAAGTTCAAAGTAAAGCAGCAAGGCAGATAGACACTGCACAGGCTCCGCAGCCTCATACTATATGAGCTGTTCTCATGTTATGCTGCCATGCACGACAACAAAGGCCACTGAGGCAAGATGCATGACTGTTCCCATGTAAATTCAGCTGAAGACAGTTGTTCTAATTAGCAGCAACTCTTTGCTTGTCTTGGAAGTTTATGGCAGTAGAGTACACAAGTGGCTTAATACTTACGTGAAGTCTCAGCTCACCGGAAATGACAAGTTTTGCAGAATGTTTTGGTAGCACTGGCCTAAATATAACTGCAGATCCCAACTAGAGTTCATCCACTGAATCATTCAGATTGATATAAATGTTGATGTACCATTCAGCAGTTAAGTGTGTTAGTTCTAGTTAGGACTAGTTCATGGATTTAAGGCTAGAGAACCTAGTATCACAGCTAGACGCTAGATTTCTTCATATCCTCTATTCATGATTTTTTAAAGTCATCCATGATGTGAATAATCTCAAGTCTAGTTTGTGCCACTTAAACTGTAATACAACATGCTCTGTGAAGGTATGTTTCAGATGTTCATACTTTTCTAAAAATGTGTTAATTACTATTTAGATCATCTTTTTTTAACTTAACACCTCTCTTGCTTTTAGAAAATGAACATTAAATTATAGACTTATACCTTCCAGCTCATCGGTGCCACCTGCAGCTTCTTGATGTAACAGCATCTTAAGCCCAAGTCCAAGAGACTTCACTGCCTACCTTGAGGATGCTTGTGTTGTAGTTACAACGTGGCTGCCACAGTAACTTGGATGTACCATTCAACAGTTAAGTGTGTTAGTTCTAGTTAGGACTAGTTCATGGATTTAAGGCTAGAGAACCTAGTATCACAGCTAGATGCTAGATTTCTTCATATCCTTTATTCATGATTTTTTAAAGTCATCCATGATGTGAATAATCTCAAATCTAGTTTGTGCCACTTAAACTGTAATACAACATGCTCTGTGAAGGTATGTTTCAGATGTTCATACTTTTCTAAAAATGTGTTAATTACTATTTAGATCATAATCATGTGTAAGTTTCAACATTTAAATTCCTTTCAAATGAGAAAAGACATAAAGATATATAATTTGTGTGTGGAGTTATGGACTGATTATTATTGTAAAGTTTACCTGCATACGGGTATTCTGTTTGCTTTTTTATCAATATGGGCATCTATTTATATTAAGAGAAAGCAAGTTGTTATTTGAAACAAGTGGGACCTTTTCCAAATAGATTTGTCATGTGTAGTGATCCTATCCAGGTTTTGAAATTGTCTACAGTGGTGCCCCGCATAGCGACGTTAATCCGTTCCGGATTAATCGTCGCTATCCGGAAACATCGCAATGCGGGGGGGGGAGAACCCCATAGAAACGCATTAAACTTTGTTTAATGCGTTCCTGTGGGGCGAAAACTCACCGTTATGCAAAGATCCTCCATAGCGCCACCATTTTCGCCGCCTCGGTAAGCGAGGAAATCGTGCGAAAATGGTTGCGGCGGCCATTTTGGGCACCCGGTGGCCATTTTGGAACCACCAATCAGCTGTTCCGCAAACATCGCAATGCGAAGATCGGTAAGCAAAATGCTTACCGATCATCGCAATGCGATGTTTAGGCTATTAAAACATCGCATTAGCGATCGCATTAGCGATCCCAAAAAATAGATCGCTATGCGGATTCGTCGTTAAACAGTGCGCTCGTTATGTGAGGCACCACTGTATTTCATTCTCATCCTCTTGGTTGCCTCTCCCTAACCCTCCTAGGTAGTTGTCAGCATTCTTTGCTGGGCTGTTTCTGTTCTTAATTCTCCCCCAACACTTGATTCTTTTTCTCTGAAGTTTTTTTAATCTGTCTGCACATCATTCTACCAAGCTTGCTACTACCTCTCTTATGTACCTCTCATTGTTTTAGATACATAAGTAGAAGATCTAGAGAATGAGTTTGATATTAGTATTTAGGGTGATAAACATTAGGAGCTGATGGTAACAGACTTCCATTTAGCCCATTAAAATGGAATGATTATTAGTCAAGACCGGTGGTGAGCCAGTGAAGGTGGTTTATCAAAAATCCATAGGGAAAGAATGGAGGTTCGACCTGCTTCTGCCAAGAAGCGATTTGTTTGCTGCAGCAAGCTCCTTTGGTCAGAAATGTAGCGGCCGGACTTTTGACTAGCATTCACAAGACTGGAACTGTTAACTCTGATTCGACCTTTTAAAACTATAGGTACATTAGGGCTGGCCACTTATTCCCACATAGTAGCTGAAAACGACTTTAGAAACTTTTTTTGTGGTGACATTTCCAAGAACATTCAGTGACTGAGCATGAGATGTAAAATGACTCTGGAAGATATCTCTTCTTGAAATTATAATAAAGTTCTCTTGTATCTCTTCCGTGAAAAATGGAAGCCATTCTTTCTTGAACAAGCCATTAATTGGTAACATTTAGTTTTGTCCCCTTACTACATTCCTATGGTGAGTGTAAAGCAGGGCTTTCTTCAGCTGGCAGCCCAGTTGGTGAGGGTGTTATTAATGGAAAGGAGGAGAAATTGGAGTGATCTGAAATGCTGTCTGGATCTTTCTCACAGGAGGAAAGTCTCCTGTGTGATTGGAAGGATCACTCAAGTTCAAATAGATCATACCAAAGATAGGCCTTTTAAAACCCTTGCAGTCTGTAGCCAGAATTTCTGCCTTAAACAGTGAATATGCAGCTGGTTTTACATTAGCTAATGTGATGTTAGATTGTATGGAATAATACTATACAATTAATCCATAACTGGCTTTTTCTGTTTTCATAGGGTTCCAGATTAGATGACCAAAGATGCGCACCACCACCAAATATTGCAAAAGGGCCAACAGTACCTGATGAAGATTTTTTTAGCCTTATTTTGAGATCACAGGGGAAGAGAATGGATGAACAGCGAGTCTTTCTACCTTCTGGTTTGAAGAGGCCAAACTCCAGCTAATGGACATAAAAATTTCTTGGAACAATCGTAAAATCAGGGGATTATGTAGTACTGTAAAGTTTTTTTTATATATGTGCAAGGAACAATGCCTTTAAGGAAAAAATGTAAAATCTGGAATATTAAAAATACTGTGTAATTTTACATAGTTTAAGGTACAGTTTCTGCTGCCACTGCTTGGAAATCAAGTGTCTAATGTTTGTAAAGTGTCACCTGCATAGTATATATATATTTCTTTCTCCCCTGCTGGCCTTTTTTTTTGTAAATATACTAGTTTTGTTTGATGGTGGTAGTGCTTAAGGTACTTTTGTCACAAATTTGTGAAACTTCTTGCGAAAATTATGTAATTTAAATAACAAAACTAGAAATAGCTTCAATGGATTTTCTAACTTTTGCATAGTATAAAAGTTCTAAAAGTTATGTGTGTATCTTTTTTTAAAACCATAGAAAAAATAAACCTTGGTACTATCTAAACTTGTCCTCCCCCCATATGTAAATATCAAGGTCATGTAAACAGAAGGATGACAATACAGTTTACACTGTAGTCAACTGCAGGTGCCATTTAGCATCTACCAGCCTTTCCTTTGTTCCATGACACATATTTCACTTCATGGGAAGTTAAATTGGTCATTGGCAGAAATCAGTAAAAACTTACTGAATCCTTCGTTGCCTTTCTCTTTAGGTAAGCCAAGATATAAGGAAAGGAGACCTTTAAACTCCTGCTCTCACTAATCAATATTAATGAGACCTTCTGAAGTCCTCCCTTCCCTACTATACTTTGGGTACCCAGTGTCCATTTCCATGTGAAACTATTGAACCTTCAGGCCTAGGTGAAGTTGAAACATGACACCTAAATTTTAGTGTTAATGAAGTTTAAAAGTGTAAGGGAAATTCCTGCAGCCAAATTATTTCTTGTTACTTATGAAAACAGAAGAAATAACATATCTCAGGTTCCCTGTCGTTTTTATTTTGTGGTTAAATCAAATATACAAAAAAAGCCCCTTAGCATTGTGTATATACTTCAAGTCTCAATGCAGCTGTCCCATTCAGATGCTTTAAAAATGTTTTGAAACTGCGACATGGAAACACATACCTGACAAACATGATCTGGGTCCTTAAGAAAATATGCCTGTTTTAACCTAATTATCAGGTGCTGGGACACTGAAGGGCAACAAACCATTCCTTGCATTCAAGGACAGCTATATTTTCTTATGTTTAAAAGTAGAAATAGTTAATGTCATTTTGCTTGTAAAAGTGGCGATCTATCAGGAAGCAGTGTTCCTCTGATTTTGTTCCTGTAATGAGAAGATCGTTAAAGAAAGATTGATAAAAACCCAATTTGCTAGATGTTTATGCAAGCTTTAATGTCTTCAAAAAAAGTGTTTAATCAACCATTGATTGGGGGAATTAAAACCTTAAACAGTAACTATACATGGCCCAGAGTAGTGCCTCAGCACTAATGGGAGCAGGATACAAATTGAAGAAATAAATATAAATAGGCAAATCTAGTGCCACTGAATTTTCACAATGGCAAAGGCAAAAACAGACACAGCAGACCCTGCTTTTATAGTAACAACAGTTCCGCTCTCACATACACAAATCTTCTAACCTAATTTTGGATATCTCCTTTATACCATGGCTCACCCCCTCTGTTAGCATTTTTACAAATGAAAGAAAGGCAGTAAGGGGTAAGTGGTGGCAGTCTGTCTCTACTAGCCCAGTTACACACATCTTAATCTATATCCAATCTGCCATCCTCAAAACTAGCCTTATCCAAGTGATTACTTATGATTGTATGCAAGGAGCCAGGGGTTTACATTCCAGCTCTGCTAGCACCCACCTTGTTTCTGGAGAAGGTCTAAAAAGGAGCTGTTATATCAGGTGGACAATTACAAAGCTTTTGCAAAGGCTTTCACGGCCGGGATCTAATGGTTGTTGTGGGTTTTTCGGGCTCTTTGGCCGTGTTCAGAACACAGCCAAAGAGCCTGAAAAACCCACAGCAACCATTAGAATCCGGCCTTCGCGAATACATTGAACGCCTCTACAGGGAGGAAACAGTCAAACAGACCCGGAGACTGGAAACACTCCGAAGCAAAAGAGCACACCTACTATGTTCCTTAACATTTCTACTACACTGCAGAGACACACAAACCATACCAGCCTTCCTCAGGACAAAAAGGACCATCATTTCCCCACAGGCCAGCCGCATCTACGACCACATGGAACAAGCCCTCCTACGGGAAAGAATCCACACAACCCGCAAAAACCTGGACTCCACAGACAAAGTACTACTAGGCCTACACATCACTATCAGCCAAAAAATGAGAAGTCAAGATTGGGACAAGATTGACACCCTCTCTTACAGAAAAAATGGAAAAAGAAATGATGAACCACACAGCTAGACAAAAACAGAAATTCAACAAATGCCAAACAAGCCAACAGAAATTCAGAACACAGCCAAAGAGCCTGAAAAACCCACAACAACCAATTACAAAGCTGTCCATGACTAAATGCTCAGCCTTTTAAGAGTTTATGTGGAGAACTGTGACCATGGTCCATTGAATGGAGTTAACACTTTGATTCATACCCATATCTTCCATGGAGGTTGAGAACAAAATGAACAGTGCTCAAAAATGTCTTTGAGTCCCTCAACACAATTTTAAAACAGAATGCCTGAATAAGTCTTACATTATTTCTGAAACAAATGGCCTGCCTATATTTCTGCTCCAGTTACCTCTCCCTTTTTCTTCCCTCGCACTAATTTATCTTTGGATGGCAGATTTGAGTCTAACCCAGTGTATCTAATTCAGACAAAATGACTTGAGAGTTTCACTCTGTATACTCTTGCCAGTTGGAATTCAGTGAAATATTGTACACACACACACACTGGAAAGAAGTGTAGTAGGAATCAGAAATATGATAAACTTAAATCTCAACTGTGGAACATAAAGGACTGGATCAACATTTTTTTCCAAAACTAATATGGCTTATTAGTGAGCTTTAGGAAATAGCAAAACAATACAAAGAAAAAAAAACGATAAAACATAACTTACTTGGTTGGCACCTTCTTGCAGCTTTCAGGAACTGCAGTAGACTTACAACTGGGTGAAAGCCTCTGAGTTTGCTTAGTACAGCAGTACTTTATAAGGAAAGTCATAAATGTCTACACTGCACTTCTATTTTCCATAATACACAAGAGAGACTCTGTTAAACTTACAGAAAAGCTCAGACTTTCTGTTATCTTCTCTGTGGTTTCTTCTAAGCCATGTGACTTGTTTTCTGGTTTCAAACTCTGGTCCTCATTAATTACAGGTTTTGTTTCATCTTGGTTGCCGTTTGTAGGTTCTTCCATCTGGCAAGACTGGTCTTGTTCAGTGGTGTTTGCTTCACCCAGACTTTGATATATGCTGTTTTTTTCTGTGCTCTCAGTAGCCTGATCACTTGGCTTAGTACACAATTCACTCTGTAGGAAGTTACTTGCATCAGTGAAGTATTTATGCAACAAGCAATAGTAAAATAATGTGACTTTGTCAAAAATATTCCATTTAGTGACGAAATCCTGTTGATTAGCACTAGAAAGTAGACCCACTGAATCAGTGAGATTTGGTGAGGCAATTCTTCCATAGGTTCCACTGATCCAAATGGGCCAACTCTTAAATGTGGTTTACTTCAGCATAGTCAGTTTGAACTAGAGAAGGCTCATATGCATTAATAGAACTTATGAAGTTGCATCAACAAATCCCCACTGATTCAATGGGTCTACTCTAGTGTAATTTACTACACTAAGCAACAGGATTTCAGCCAGATCCAAAACAGAACTTCAGTACAATATGCTCCCTGTTTATTTCAGTAAGCGTACTAAGTATGTAAGAAACAAGAGAGCCTGAAACTACAGTTAAGTAATAAATAAATAAGCTTCACTGAAAACATGGATTATTTTAATTCAAGCATGAAGAACTAACTCCTCCATGTTGACCCAACTCCCTTCTTGAGTTGCATCACAAACTGTCAACTTACCAGATGACTGTTACTGTTATTTTTTCCTGCTCCTTCTTCTGAATGTTCATTTGAAGACAGATTGCTCTGAAACACAGAGCCAATTAAGATGATCAAATAATTAGGTTCATATTTACATAGGATCCAATCTCACTGAACTCTCTGGGGTTTACCTCTTAGTATGCCAGAACAAGATTGCACTGTCAGTGTTGAGAGAAAGTTTGTCAGTTCAACAAATCTTCCCTGAAAAAAACATACTAAAACATTTTGCTGTGATGAAATGCATTATGTGTTGCAAGTGATTCCACCCATGGTTGCAAATACAAGTCTGTTTATACTTATCATATGGACAAAGAAGCACTCTAGCCCTATCCTATTCTTTTCCAATTTCATTGCTCTCTTACATATGGAGAGTAGTGACTCTTAAGAGGGAAAGCTCTGCTATCCACACATGTTATCCATGTAAATTAGAAACCTGGAAGATCAGAATCCTCACTTGGGGAAATTAGGTATGAAAAAGGGGGAAAGCTCTAAGTTTGATTTGTTTTGGACTCTTGTGGGGGGCATCTAATTCATTTTTGGGTCTTTCAGGTACCAATCCTTTCACTAAACAAAAAGGGACAGTTCTCTCAAGTTCTTTCATGTTGTTCCCCCACATTCATGCTTTGACAGATGTCCCAATGGACCCTTAAATTACATCAAAAAAGCAGAAGCAAAGCAGTAAATTAAACAATAACGCAAATTTTAAAAATCCACATCACTGCGGGGGGGGGGGGAAGCAAAACAGAAACAAAACAACACACAACCATACACTGTCCCCCTCTTTAGAAAAACCAGAAAAGCAAAGTCCACCCAAACCAAAATGATTTGAATATAGCGAGATTTCTCCCCCTTGCACACACATAAATGGCGGAAAACTTCCAAAAACTTATGAGCAAAAAAATACAGTCATGCCCCGCTGGACAATTACCCCGCTCTACGATGAATCCGCTTTATGTTGACATTTTTGCAATCGCTTTTGTGATCACAAAACAATGTTTTAAATGTTTTTTTTTTTTGCTGTGCGATGATTGGTTCCCTGCTTCGGGAACCGATTTTCGCTTTACAAAGATCAGCAAAAAGCTGATCTTTGGGTTTCAAAATGCCGCCGGCTGAAGAAAATGCCCCCCGCTGTTTTCTAGGACAGATTCCTTGCTTTAAAGGCACTGAAAATGGCCGCCGTATGGAGGATCTTCGCTGGACAAGCAGGTATTCAGCCCACTGGAACACATTGAACAGTTTTCAATGCGTTTCAATGGGTTTTTTAAATTTCATTTGACGTTTTTGCTTACAGTGATTTCGCTGGAACGAATTAACGTCGTCAAGCGAGGCACCACTGTAATTTCCGAAAACAATCTCAAAATCATTGGGAAACATAATCCTAAAAATGAGGAAGAGGAATCACCACATAATCCAGAAAAAAAAAGGAAAAAAGATCCAAATGCACAGATGGAGAGCACAATGAAGATGAAGCATCATGGAGATCAGCAGTCCCACCCACAATGAAGGACTGAAACAAAGAATTCTTCACTTTTAAGGACAGAAGTCAAGCCACATTATTAACCTAACAGGTTAATTGAAGCAGAAGCTCCATTCAGTCATTGCTTCCTCAAATGTTATCAGAACACTCAGAAGTGGTTTACCCCCACCCTCACCCCAATTTGGTATTTTCTCAACAAGGAGAGCCAGGTTATCCAGTGAGAGGAAATTTATCCTCGAATATTGTCACTACACACATATAAGAACCCCAGTTTCCTAAGGTTGTTGTTTAGAGGTAAAGCTCACATGCTAGCAGCAGTTTCCCATCTTCAGTGGCTCTCAGGGAACAAAGTAATGAAAGAGGGGAAGGACTTGTTACTGCTTTTTAAGTTTGTTAATAACAATTGGGGAGATGACACCTGACGAGGGTTATTGACAATGTCTTGCCAGTTACCTTGACAGTCAACTTCAGGGACTTCCCTGTTGTGGTATCCAGCATATCACCTGCTTGCAAAACCTCAATGTTGCTTCTGCTGCCAGCTTCAGATTTTGTAGACTGGTATCTGTTTGTTGAAGCATCTCCTCTATCATAAGGTCCTCTCTGGATGCCATCAGTGTTTCCCATCAAGTAGCCACCTCTGTCACCTGCACCATTCTGTTGTAGATTTGGTATCTGTTCTCGTTGACCATTCCAAGGGGGAAGTGAAGGAGGAGGATGTTTGTCTTGGTTGCTTAACTGCCTTATTGAAGTAACTGATCTTCCTGCACCATAGCAGAAAATCTATGGCAGAAACAACTTTGTAATCATTAATGATATTTGTGTTTCCATCCCATCTTTTAATAATTTTTATATAAATTTGTTAGAAAAAAAGACTCTAAAGCTCTGCATTCACCTGTGATTTAAAATGTTGATATTCTTTATTATTATTATTTAATATTCTCAAGAGCTTTTCTACATGATGGACCATTATTTCCAGTATACTGGTCAAAGTGGGATAAAGTGTGGCTACTGAGTGCACTATTGAAAAGAAAATTCAGTATCAAAACGTCAAATGTCAACTAACCCAGGCTGTTTCAACTACCTCTACTTTTCTTAGACAACAACTTGTAAAAAATTGAAGTAACCAGACACTTCTGAGTTCTAAAAAGGATACTGGAAGCTTTAAAAAAACTATGCACAACATATCAAACACATTCTTCTATGAGGTTTCTGAGCTGCAACTAGCAATTTTCATTTCATATTGCTGGCATGCCTAAAGCAGGGATATGTGGTTGCAGCCTGAAGAAGGACAAATTGGCTCCGAGACCCAGCAAAGCTACCCACCACATGCACTACTGGTTCTTCTGCAATTCTGTCCTATATAAAATGGAACTATATTGTCACTCTCCTTTGTATTCACTTACGTCTATTAAAAGCATGGATTTATAATGATGTATTAACCATTGCTATAAGATCAGTGCATCCAGAGGCAAATGCTAACTCACATTTGAGGTTTATAATGCCCCAGTGTGTTAATTTTAAATCTGCTTGCTGTTTTCTAGGCTATTTTACTCATAAGAGGATTCTGACTCTACTCAAAAAGTGAAGTTTTACACTCCAGCTGCCTCTTCCAGTACAAGCTGTCCTCCAATCTTTGTGCTATCAGGAGAAACTGTGATAGGTGTTTGCCCAAGTATGTCTTACGTAGCTAACTGTTCTCCTAAATAGCTTCAAGAGTATCAAATGATTGTCCAAACACACCGTAAGTTGTACTCATTTTTACAGTTTCATATGTATGATGTTAAGTATATATACATACCAGAACTGCCCCTGCCATGATGACCAGCACTGGGATCTGTAGCAATACTGGGATCTCTTTCATGAGTGCTCTAATAAATTCTCCAATCCCTTTCCCTATGTACTTCAGTGGCTCTGTTACAAAATTGGTAAATGTAACAGCCAGTGCCTAAAAAATAATAATAAAAATAAAGCAAGAAAATTTAGCTTTTGATAACTTCACTAGAACACACACACAAAATAACTCAGAAATCGAGATTACCTTTGTTGGAGGAACAAGCAAAATAGGATTTACTAATAAAGTTTCATAGTACTTTTTGCAAGGATCATCTTGGAATGTCATTGAGCTTCTAAGCCATTCTACAGTTAGAAAACAGAAAAACTGCTGTTACACACAAGATCAACAGCTTTAAAATCCCCTGATACTTAAAATTGCTTTTATGGCCATAAAACTTTATTTTAAAACTAGATAGTGAAATCCATGTTAAAAATAGTCACTTATATGAACTAACATGTCTAAAAACATCAAGAGTGTACTATTTGTATATACTGTACTTATCCCAAAGGAAATGAAACAATGTACATCAGGAAGGGACTTTCTAATCCTCTAAGAATTTTGCTGAAAACTAGAATTAAAACAGATACTCCGGCATAAGGAATATATATTTGAAATATATTTGCCAGGTTGGATAGATTGCAAGGAAACAAAAAGATTTCTGTGGAGAACATGTGCCTGAAGCACAATTTGCATGACAGAAGAGCACATCTGGCAAGTTGTGGGCAAGAAGAATTGCAGAATGAAAATGAAAGAGACAGACCTGGAGAGACAAGTAGGGGAAGTAAGCTTTCATAGAAGACATAAAGCACTTCTCAAGGAGTGCAACATTTTTAGCACTTTTTGCACGCTTCCTCAAATACTGTCAAGCACAAACTTGCCTACCAACAGCTGTATTACAATTGCATAGGCATTCTTCAGTCTTGAAAGACTATGATAACGTGCCCTGAATGGAGGTCTTGGAACAGCATCTAGTGTGGCTGAGAAGGTCAATTCGAGAGTGACCATCCCTTCCACACTGAAGACAAATACAATCTGTCCCCTGTCCAGCTACCTAATTTTGCTGCTTTCAGGACTGCCTCTTTGCCTTCGCCTGCTGGACAAGTGTCTCTTCAAAATGGGAGAAGCCATGATGCACCGCCTGCCTCCAGGCTGAACGCCCAGATCTCAAGGTTTCACATCTGTTGAGGTCCATTCCTAAGGCCTTCAGTTCCCACTTGCAGATATCCTTGTATCGCAGCTGTGGTCTCCCTCTGGGGTGCTTTTCCTGCACTAATTCTCCATACAGGAGATCTTTTGGAATCTGACCATCAGCCATAGTCACGACATGCCCAAACCAATGTAGATGTCACTGTTTCAGGAATGTATACATGCTAAACATTCCAGCTCATTCTAGGACTGCTCTATTTGGAACTTTGTCCTGCCAGGGGATACCAAAAATGTGTCAGAGGCAAAACATATGGAAGGTGTTCAGCTTTCTCTCCTGCCATGCAGAAAGGGTCCAGGACTCAATGCAGTACAGGAGTGTGCTCAGGACACAGGCTCTATAGACCTGGATCTTGGGTATATGCTGTCAGCTTCTTATTAAGCCATACTCTCTTTGTGAGTCTAGAGAACATGGTAGCTGCTTTGCCAATGCAGCTATCCAGCTCAACATCTAGGGAGAGTGTATCAGAGATTGTTCAGCCAAGGTACACAGATTCATGAACAACTTCCAATTCTTGCATGGAGATGGTAATGGAGGGAGATGAATCCACGCCCTGGCCCATGACTTGTGTTTTCTTCAGGCTGATTGTTAGTCCAAAGTCTTGGCAGGCCTTGCTAAAACGATTCATGAGTTGTTGGAGGTCTTCAGCAGAGTGGGCAACAACAGCTGCATCATTGGTGAAGAGGAAGTCCCACATTCATTTCAGCTGGACTTTTACCTTTGCTCTCAATCTAGAGAGATTAAAGAGCTTTCCATCTGATCTAGTCCAGATAGACACCTTCTGTTGCAGTTCCAAAAGCATGTTTCAGCATGACAGCAAAAAAGATCCCAAACATGGTCGATGCAAGGACACAGCCCTGTTTCACTCTGCTTCGGATGTCAAAGGGATCTGATG